AACTGCATGTTGAAGCATCAGCCCAGATATTATTCTCTTCTTGGTTTTCTAGAAATAGGCATTTTCTTATCCCCCTCCTCATTTTTAATGGTGAATTTCATAAACTTAATAATAGTGAAGTGAATGAATCGTTGAGTTTATACTGAAATTTAGGAAATCTGTTATTATTGAGAGTGACTCTTGCTTTTTTCGTTGTTCGTTTGTTGAACCCCCCCGCCCCCCCAGGAAGCACCCAGGGCTGCTGGGTGAAGCCGGTGGATGGCACAGAGGGAGCGCTGCTGTGGCTAGTGGGCTGCTCAGTGTTTACTCCAGGACCCTTTTAGAGGGCAGAGCATTTTCTGTGGTGTCCTGCTGGTTCCCTGTGTGTCCCCAAGCCCGTGCCTCTGGTGGCTGGTGTGTTGGATTTGAAATAGTGTGGCTTCAAATGGAAACTGCCTCAAACTGGCCCTGTGCCCTGCTTTCTGTGTTGTGTCTGATTGTAACAAATCAATGACTCATGAAGTGGCGCTTGTCAGAACTAATTGAAATAAATGATAGTATGTTCCTTGTAAAATACCGTGCACATGTCTGTCTATCTATTTATTTGAGTAGGAAGCTTCATCTTTCTTCCATGGAGCAGCTGGTAGATTTGAACCGCTTATCTTGTGGTTAGTTAGCCCAACTAGACCACCACGACTTGTTTAAACCCAAGCTTAGATTTCGTTTTCTGAGGCACTTTTAAGTTCCCAGCCTAGAGGCATGAAGAAGGCAATGTTGCTTGTATGTACATTGTTGCCCCAGCCCTGCCTGTCTCAGATCTGCCCCCTCTTTGTGGGGGGAGAGGGTGGGTAGGGTTGGTTTTTTTTTAAGAATAGGCGATGTCTTGTAAAGGCAGAGTAATTGTTGAGGCTTTGAAGGTGAGAGGACCGTGGCCCAAAGCAGCCACAGGTAATTTGGCGGGTGAGCGGCTGAGTGAACCTCGGTGAAACCTAAGTGAACAAACGATGGAACATTGTGCTAGTCTGTCAAAGCTCACATGCCGTACAGAATCAGGCGTTGGCTAGATTGGGACCTGGCTGTCCCTGGTCTAGCTCAGTAGCCAGGACAGTTGCGGGGTTTGAGTGGGGGTGAGGATAGTAAAGGTTGAATAGTGGTGTCTGCAAAGAAAAGGGCAAGATTGCATAAACGAAGCAGTGCTCTGCCGAATCGTGTGTGGAAAATCCTGGGCGGTAGATTTTAAAACTGTCTTCCAGCTTGTTCTCTGCTGTGCTTCTGCCTCTAAGATGCGGTCAGAGCATTGAGGTGGCAGTCACTGTCAGAAACCCCCACATGGCTCCGCATAGCCCCATTTCACGTAGTTGTGTGACTACGATCAACCAGCCTTTTCTTTTCGGCCCAGGTGAGGCGTCAACTTTGAGAAAGGACCGCACCTGATGGAAAAGAGGGCGTGGTCCTGGCCTGTAGAAGGCTGGGCCGTGTCACCACCCTGCTTGCTCACCCTGCTCTGGGCTGGCTAGCGTGTGAGTGTGCTTGTCTGGCAGGTGTGGTGATCCTGAACGGTGACTGCCACCCCACGGTCCCCTCTGTTGGCCTCTCCCACGTCATTCCCATCCTCTCTCCTGTCCACGGGAGCTGGGAGGTGCGTTGACTGTCTCTGGACATGATTAACAACTGACGGCATTCATAGTCACCCCTCTTGTTTGTGCTCTGCACTTGGCTCAGGTGGAGCCGGTGCTTGGAGCCTCTGTCCTCACAGGTTTGCCGGGCTGGACCCCTGCCCATGCTGCCCGCATGCACTGCTGCATTTGAGGTACTGGGTTGGTTTGGTTTTTCCAAAACAGATGGGCTTTAGGATTTCTTCTTGTAGGCTTAGCTTAGTTCAGGAAAACGCTTCCTCTGTCGTGTTCACATTATCACAGAGTAGATCACATCACTAAGGATCTCGTGTCTCACCCCTCCGCGCCAGTATATTACAACGGCATGTACTCCCAAGTTGCCAACATCGGCGCCGTGCTGGAACCCCGACAGATGTCTTCACAGGGTGTTCCAAGCATGAACTGTTTGCTTGCCCAATGGGCACTAAGATGCAGAGTTGGGCAGCTCAGGGCTTAAGTGGATGGTCAGGGCGTGGTCTTTGCACCTGAGTGCTGCCGTTGTATAAAGTTGCTGATGGTCTCACAGCTCCCAAGTGACAGTTTTGTTTAACGGGGGGAAAAAACAAACCTGTAAGATTCCAATGATTGTGCTGTGATTGGATATTCTATAACTGAGGTGTTGACAGCTGCCTCTCACCTGTCTGCGGGGCTGTGTGAAGCTCCCTCTCCCCAGTGGCTGTAGTGTTGCCTGTATCATAAATAAAGCTGCATATTATCCTGCAAATTAGCAGTTTCTCTCCTCACTAACTCAGCCACCAGCCGGGGCGGGCCGCAGTGGGGGACCAGAGATGTGACAGCAGCAGTGACTGGCTGCCCAGGCTCAGCCCTCCACGGTCCTCCTTTTTGACCCCCCTCTCCCTCCAGGAGGGTAGCATTCCCAGGATGCTGGTGTGGCAGGGGGCCTTGCACCTGGCAAGGTCAGAGCCCTTTACTAAAGGGAGGGACCCAGTCTTCATTCCTGAGGAGTCTGACTGGGGGTGGGGTGTGTGTGCGCAAACGTGCATTATTTGGCAACTCTACCATTTCCGTTAGGTTTTCGTTGACTCTTCTTTAAAGTGGGGAACTGAATTCTTCATTGTTTGTTCTTCAGTCTTGACGCTCTGGTGAAAACTATTCACTTTGGATGACCCTGCTGGCATTTGAAATACCAGTAACATAATTTCCAGCATCACAGCAACACACAAGCAAGCCACCACAGTATGGCAAACTGGTGGTCAGAAGTTTGAGCCAGATTCAGAAGAGGACACGGGGCACGGTACATATCTCCTTGCTGATGTCAGCTGAATGTTGGTTCAGCAGAGGATACCAGAAACATGGCTACTGTGTTTCACGCAAAGACAGTGGGCTATCTGGACCGTAGACAACGGGATAGCCTTGAGAACAATGGGAATTCCAGAACAGGGCTAATGCAGAACGTGTGTGGACTCAAACCAGGAAAGGTGGGTGTGGTGGGCCGAGGTAGTTGTATCCTGTCACCATACTCATTCCTTTTCGGTTAGTTTTTATTCAGTGACACTGACACATGACAGAATTCCCCAGCAAAACAAAGGTCAACCAACCATCCACCGTGCATTCTAAAGAATTATAGGTGCTCATTTTCCTTGGTAACGAACTGCTGTGTACCAGAACACGAAAACACCCGGCATGCTTCACTTAATTCTCACAACAACGCCCATCTTCGTGCCTCTGCCATTTCTGGAAGTTTCCAGCCCTGTCATTTGTTTTAAGTATTTTCCCACTCAGTACATATTCCAATCTGCTTCATTCCCAGCAATCCTCTTTTTCAAACATTCCCTAAAAATAACTAATGTGAGATCAGTGATTCTCAACCTGTGGGCCTTGACCCCTTTGGGGGTCAAACGACCCTTTCACAGGGGTCCTCCGATTCATAACAGTAGCAAAATTACAGTGATGAAGTAACAAAAATAATGTTATGGTTGGGAGATCACCACAACATGTGGAACTGTATTAAAGGGTCGCGGCATTAGAATGGTTGAGAACCACTGGACTAGATGTTGCCCAGTTCCCATTGTTGACTGCTCTGAAAGGGACCCTGAGAGATGGTCCTGCAGAGAGGGGTTGAAACATGGGACATATTCAAAATCATTAAAGGCCAGGCTTACTGGTCTCATAAGAGACTAGTGGAAACCCAGAGACGTACCCTTTAACTGAACTCTTCCATGGCTCAGCTGTCAGCCAAATAATAGCCCTATAAATTGAGCAGTGACACTAGGAAGGTACATGTTCCTTAAAACAGTTGACCATTGGCCACCAGGATGGTAGCCTCTGCTCAGAGGGCAGGAAGCAGGCCCAGGGAAGGAGGAGGAAGTGGAGAGAACCCACCAGGATTGCAGCTGATGACTTGAACATGTGTATGCATTATTGAATGGAAAGTGAAGTTGCTCATAAGCTTTCACCCAAATCACACAGATGTTTCCTTCTCCCCCCAAAAAAATCAAAGCTCATAGATCAATAAGAACACATAGATTAGAAAGTGGGCAAAAAATCACTCATCCTACAAAAAGATAAGATTGGGTATATATATTTCCAGATTTTAAAATATCTATTTAAATTATATTAATTTATTGGTGGCTCTTAGCTCATAACAATCCATACATCCATTGTATGGACTCCCTCCCCACCCTATTTAAATACATTTTACTTTAAAAATCTTCATACCATGGCTATTGCTCTCTAAACTTGTCTCACGTAGCAGTATGATGGATATCTTCTCTGGCAATACAGATTTCCAATCATTCCACTGTGAGGACGCCGTCAGGTATCCAACCAAGCCAGGATCCCATTTTTAGTGTTTTAGACAGGTCTGGCATGAGTATCCTTGTACAAATACTCTGGCCAATTTTTCAATTGTTTTCATAGGGTCGAGTCCTTTAAGTCAAATGTTTGCAGATGTAAAGCTTCTATGTATTGCCAAGTGGCCCCTACAAACCTGTTGCCTGGGTCATGTCATTTCCATTGCCAGGGTTCCAAACGGTCATT